AATTGCAGAATCTTCTAACTGAAGGCTAACATGATTGGGCAATTGAGTACCAACATGCAACTTAAAGATACACCTTGATAGCTTCACATATGTCAATGTTTCACAGGTAAATATGCTATGAGGCAACACATATTTTTCATCATTGGCCATATCTAGATTAGTCTTCTAGATACCATGATTTGAGACAAAGGTGTCTATCCCGGAGAGAAAATGCAATCCCAGAATATTTCCAGTATGTTAAGCATGAGAATTTTATAAACTATGCTAGCAACGTATAAGATATGTACTTAAAAAAACAGGGGATCAAACACAAGATTAGGTATTGATAAGATTCTAGCTCTTGCAGCGTATTTGATGGGCATTAGCTCTAGTACTCTATATAGTGTGTCTGTTGGTAATTCAGAAATAATAGATAAGGGTCAACTATATTATTCGTCACTACATTTTTTTTCTTTGATTTTCGAAATTCGGGTATCGTCACTACATTTCACTGACTATGAAAAGTTGAAAACAAATAATTACAGCCATAAGATTGTAATTTATCTGCTTCAGTCATATCCTATATTGTTACAGTGATGTGCTTTTCATACGTTAGTGAGTTTGAATAAAGGGTATAGTGGTGCTGGACTAATGTAGCAGTTGGTAACAAACCCTCTAATATAGATATTAACAGTAAGCCTTTTTGTACCTGAGTTAATTTGTTAGAAGAATTGATTGGGATGAAGAATCAGTTGTATATGCTCTTCACTAGTGGAAGATCAAGAAATAGCATCAATCTCGGTGATATACCAACCTTTCAGAATTCATATTCATAAGTTGACAACAGATAGGAGCAGCACTAACTCAAGTCTGCAGGTCAAAGCAATATCATACATCTTGGTGCTATACTGACCTTTCAGAATTCATATTCTCAAGTTGACAGCAGATATGAGCAGCAGCAACTCAAGTCTGCAGGTCAAAGCAATAACATCCATCTCGGTGATATACCGACTTTTCAGAATTCATATTCTCATGTTGTAGCAACTTCTGAGAAACTTGCTCCATCAGAGCCAGTCACATCAACAACCTTAGTACGACCATCACTGCCAGACTCAACCTCGAACTCAACTATCTCGCCATCAAATAGGCTATGGAAACACTTAGATCTGATACCAGACTAGTGAATGAAGAGATCGACACTAAGCCACTTGACGGTTCCCTTAGCCCTCTGTCCAATCTCACCCGCCATTCTCATCACTAACAAACAGAAACCCTAAAAACCCATTGTGTGGTTCCTTTAGAATTGTCACCGTTACAAGAAAACAATGTAATATAAGTAAAATGACCAACGACTATATTAGATTATTTTTTTGTCACGGTGACAATTCCAAAGGAAACACACAAAGGGTTTTTAGGGTTTCTCTTTGTTAGTGAGAATGGCGGATGAGAGTGGACAGAGGGCTAAGGGAACCGTGAAGTGGATCAGTGAGGATCTCTTCATTCACTAGTCTGGTATCAGATCTGAGGGTTTCTGTAGCCTATTTGATGGCGCCATAGTTGAGCTCAAGATTGAGTTCGGCAGTGATGGTCGTACTAAGGCTGTTGATGTGACCGGCCCTGATGGAGCGAGTTTCTTAGGAGGTGCTACAACATGAGAATGTGAATTCTAGAAGGTCGGGTATATCACCGAGATGGATGTTATTGCCTTACCTGCAGACTTGAGTTGCTGCTGCTCATATCTCCTGTCAACTTGAGAATATGAATTATGAAAGCTCGCTATATCACAAATTAAGATGGATGATATTGCTTTGACCTGCAGACTTGAGTTAGTGCTGCTCCTATCTATTGTGAACTTAAGAATATGAATTATGAAAGGTCGGTACCGAGATGGATGATTTTCTTGATCTTACACTGGTAGAGAGAATATATGACTGATTCCTCATCCCAATCAATTCTTCTAACGAATTAATTTTGGTGCAAGCATGCTTACTGTTAATATCTATATTAGAGCATCTGTTACAAATTGCTACATTAGTCCAGTGACCAATATACTCTTTATTCATACTCAGTTATGTGACGGGATTCTTAACTGCTCCAGTATCACTAGCTGGCAACTAATCCATTCTCCAGCTTGTTGTAGTTCTTGAAGGAGTGCACTTCCCTTCAATTGTGTGTACACTCTAAAACAACACATACTAGTAGGCATCATCGTCCTCAGCTATAAGAGATCATTATCGTCCTTAGATATGGAACATCACTAAATTCCTATAACCAGATTATGCCAAGTAGCATAGCAAGAGTAGTATCAGTACAAACAACGCATACTAGTAGGCATCATCGGTCGACCCGAACCTACTACATAATATGAAGTAGACATTCAGAAGGGAACATACAATATGAAAGTTACACCACCCCAAGTCTCTATCCACATGCTTTCACCATCCTAGGTATAATACCCATAAACTAGTACACTTTGAACTCAACCTCCTACCTCATTCGACTGTCAACTCTAATATTTAAGCGTTTGACCCTCTTGTCATTCTATGGCTTCCCAAGTCTGCATATTAGGTCACCATAATGTCAAATCATAGTCTAACCCTTCTATCACATTAATATCCACAAATATAAGACCACCATAATGCAAAATAATAGCCTGACACTTCTACCATATTAATATTTACAAATATCAGGTCATCACTAGCCCTATTAACCAACTTACTGGTCCTTCTCAATTTCTCACGCCAACTCCCTGACCCTTTTGGAATAGTACATTAAACTAACACCTTAGACAAACTCATCCATCTTGACTCACATCCCCATTATCATATAAGTTCTAAAACACTGGACAACTATAACCAGTCCCAAAAGATGTTTCTGAAACAAAAGATGCCAAAAAATGAAATTATGGAATGTTGGTTACAACAACTATGAAAATAAAACGAGGCAGCATAATTTTTACCTCTAGGGATGTTCCATTCAAGCAAAGATGCTTAATGATTCTAAAGATTGGGTTCACATTAAAACACTCAAATGTAATTTTATAGCTTCTAAGGATGGGCAAGTTCTCAATTATTGGAGAAACCAAATAACAGAATCAATATCAAAACAAAATCTCAACTCCAAAGTCTCGAGCATTAACTGATTAACTGTTTTTTTAATCCTATAGTACAGGCAATTGCAGAATCCTCTAACTGAAGCCTAAAATGATTAGGGAATTGAGTACCAACAGGCAGCTTAAAGATACATCTCGATAGCTTCAAATATGTTAACGTTTCACAAGTAAATATGTTATCAGGCAACACATATTTTTCATCATTGGCCATATATAAATTAAGCTTCTAGATACCATGATTTGAGATAAAGATGTCTAACCCAGAGAGAAGATGCACTCCAAAATTATTTCCAGTATGTTAAGCATGAGAATTTTATGAATTATTCTAGCAGCTAGAATCCTCAATATAAGATACGTACTTAAAAAAACAGGGGATCAGACATAACATTAGGTTGTGTAAACCATAACAGCCTCCAATGTTTGATAAGTCTAGCACTTGCAGCGTATTTGATGGGTATTAGCTCTAGTACTCTATATAGTGTGTCAGTTGGTAATTCAGATATAATAGATAAGGGTCAACTATATGATTCGTCACTACTTTTGTTTTCTTTGATCTTCGAAATTCGGGGATTGTCATTACATTTCACTGACTATGAAAAGTTGAAAACAAATAATTACAGCCATAAGATTTGATAAGAACTTATGCTTTTTGGTGTTTTGATGATCTCCTTACAAGTGCAGGGACCTGGTCCTCTGCAGAGTATGAATACTCGTCCAGTGGTCAAAGTGTTGTACAGCTGGAAAGCTGTCTGCGTCAGAAGGTTGGTGAAGCTGCAGAGTACTCCACCAATCAGAAGCGACGAGGTTGCTTGTTCATTGGATAATAAATTTTCTTGTCTAAATATATCCAAGGAAAAATAACAAACTAATTCATTCATTCAAAAGGAGAGAGAGCCAACACGTCTTCTCAAGAACTTACTAAGAAAAGTCTGTAAGGGACCTGGTCCCTGCAAGATTGCGTACGTGAAAGGACGACAGTACATCTGTAAAGTTGTCACTTCTGATGTGGCAGGTGCACGTCTTTACAGAGAAGGCAGGCTCTTAGCCAATGGGCTGTCCCAAGGAGTTTGTGTTCATTTTCATTATATTATCTCTTCCCAAAATACACAAACTCAAGATTTTGGCAAACAAAAACTCACAAGCTTAAAAGGAAAAGCCATCTTCAAGGTAGAACAATACTTACACTCAACAAAAGGATTTGATAAAGGGATGAAGCATCTTTGTTGAGTTTGAGTTTTGTGTCTATCATTTTATAGGTTTTTGCATTTTGAAACTTATCAAGTATACAAGCAAAGACCATTTTGGTGAAGTATTCTCCAGCAAGCACAACAAGGACCTGATCAAGCTGCATGCATCTAAGTGTGTCTTAGGAGTTATACTTTCGTGCATATATTGTAAATCTTTTCCTAGTCTATAAAGGATTCATATATTTGTTTCTGTGTGGAAAGGTCTAAGTCGGTTAGAGTTAGCCGATTTAGTGAGCAGTGTTGTATCTGCTCAGTCAAAAGTCTAAGTCATCTAGGAGCTAGTTGATTTAGTGGGCGATGTGGTATCCGCTTAGCAAAGTCTAAGTTATCTAGGGGTGATAGCTTAGTGGGCAGTGTTGTATCTTTTTAGGCTCGTCTAAGTAATATGATATATTGCTTAGTGTGGAGATTAGTAGGTTAATCTCATTTTGTAAACTGGCTTTTACTTTTGCTTTGAGAAGATTAGTGGAAGCAGTTTGAAAAGTCCTGGTAGGCCAGGTCGTGGTTTTACTCCCTTGAGCAAGGAGGTTTCTATGTAAAATTGTTGTGCAATCTTTACTTTCAGCACTTTGTTTATTTTCTGCTATTGTAACTGTGTTGAGGACCTGGTCCCATCTAACAAAGTAAACATTCAAGTTTTGTTTAAGGTCAGAAAGAGTTACCTCTTCCTCAACTTCTTCATCATCAGATTTTTCCATGAAAGCAAACATGGCATCAAAAACATCTTCATCATCTTTAACTGCAAGCATGGAAGCATCTTCAGGATGTTCTGACTCTTCTGAGTCACTTGAGGAATCACCCCAGACAGCAAGAGTTTTCTTCACAACATTGTCAGCAACAACTTTTCTTCCTTTCTTATCAGGGATCGGGTCCCTTCTCCTGTCCTTATCTCCTACGGGCCTTGGGTGGTCTTTGTGTTCGACCTTGAGCATAGGGAAGTCTCTGATGAAATGCCCTGGCTTTCCTCAATTTCTCACGCCAACTCCCTGATCCTTTTGGAATAGTACATGAATCTAGCACCTTAGACAAACTCATCCATCTTGACTCACATCCCATTATCATATAAGTTCTAAAAAAACTGGACAACCATAACCAGTCCCAACACTTAAACCATACACCAGACCCCGATCATCTGCCTAACTTAACAACCACCATTTTAATAAACCAACAACATCATGATAAATAGAACCACAATTTACAAACAACTAAAGAATTGAGTCCCCATAAACTCAACCCAGTAATTAAAACAATTATAATCACAAGTATAACATAGTTCAGACTCCCAGTCCGCACCTTGGATTCATATGCACGACCCGCAATACCATAAACACATGCCAATCACATGTAACAACTATCACGAATGCATAGACTTGCAGTCACAATATCTTGAAATCAACCAATACCTAGAATCAACCATTGCATTAAACATGTCACACATGAGCACAAATGCAAATACATGGTCATCCCATGGAACCATAACACATATACTTGGTCCTCTCTGTTATACCCCATTTTAACTCACGTCAAATAGTGTACAACATATTGGTGATTCCTAAATTAATTAACTTAAGGAGCTGCCACCTAATTATTTTTAAGGTAAATTAGGACGCCTAAATATTTAACTAATGTAATGCTAAAGTTGAATCCAACTAATGGCCTACTTAACTTATGTGATTTTAGGTAAGAGTTCTAGTTATCATAAAAAAAAGAGGTTAAGCATCCTTAAGATTCGTTAAAAATGATTACCGACCAAACTTAGGTTAATTATTTAAACTACAGATTGAGTTCTAAGAAATTAGTCAAAGAATTACGTTGGAAAAACACGTCAATCTTAAATCAATTAGCATACTTGAAACTTGAAAACTCTTTGCATTTGAAGCAGAACAACAAAGACTTAAAAATTGAAACTTGAAAACTCTTTGCATTTGAAGCAGAACAACAAAGACTTAAAAATTGAAACTTGAAAACTCTTTGCATTTGAAGCAGAACAACAAAGACTTAAAAATTGAAACTTGAAAACTCTTTGCATTTGAAGCAGAACAACAAAGACTTAAAAATTGAAACTTGAAAACTCTTTGCATTTGAAGCAGAACAACAAAGACTTAAAAATTGAAACTTGAAAACTCTTTGCATTTGAAGCAGAACAACAAAGACTTAAAAAAAAAGATTTGTTGCAACTAAAAAGAAAGACTCGTTGCTTTAGAACTCTTATTTTTGTTTCAAAAGAAATCTAAGTAGCAAAAACATGAATAAGACCAACTCCTGGATACTTTAACTTGGACATTGCCATATCTGAAGAAAATTTCAAATGCTCTTCGTGTGAAAGAGATAAAAAAGATTCTTTAAGAAAATGATTTCAAACTCTATTTAAAATGTTCGCAAGTCAAGTTATATACAATTAGATTTATAAAACGACTCAAAAAAAAACTAAGACGGATAAGCTAATATAATCTTAAAAAATATTCGCTGAAATAATACTAATTACCCCCCTCTAAAGGCCAAGTGTCTAAGACGGATAATCTAATATAACGTAAAACAAACAATCACATGAGAAAAGAAAATGATTAATTAACCTTAGAGCGAGCTAACAATGATCAGGTTGATCCTTCTTCTCCCTTATTTTTTTTATTGCTTCAACTCGGATGCTTTTCAAGAGGGGGAGAACTGAATGAGGAGATAGGCGCGGATTCCAAATATAGCGACAATATCGAGTCTCACAAGGAGACTTCTCGTGGCATCATGAGTCTTTTATAAAGACTCCATTTTCTCCTGTTCATGCAAATAAAGAGAGTAAGAAGAGATTAGTAAGATGATTCAACTTTATACAATATCAAATAAATAAAAAAATAGAGCCAAATAACATCATACGACGAATACACTATCCAAAACAATAAATGTCGAACGAGACACGTCTTGCAACTGGCTACTTTGAACCGAACTCAAAATTGATTTAGATTATAACATCTTTCTTAAGCATAAGACAAACTCAAATCTCATCATATTTAAGCTATAACTTCCTAAAGGTTCAAGTGAAAACTTAAGCCATAATCCTTCAAATTTTATATATGCCATTACTTCAAACACAGAAGAAACGTATACATATAACTCCAATACATATCATATCATCATATATCATATATTATCAAGAGTGAGAAGCTCCTAACCTCAAAGTTAGATTACCATTTTATCCCTATACTATATTAAAATATTACAAAATATAATAATTAATTAAATAGTGTTAAAGAATGACAAAAGTCCCACATCGGTGGTTAATGAGATGGGTGGACTCCTTATAAGGCTTGGGCAATCCTCCTCCCTTTGAGCTAGCTTTTGGGGTGTGAGTTAGGCCCAAGACCTAATTTAACATGGTATTAGAGCAAGGTTCCGTCTCACCCGATGTTGGGACCCCAAAATCAAAAATTGTCCACGCACTAGATGCTAAGCACTGGGCGTGAGGTGGGGTGTTAAAGAATGACAAAAGTCCCACATCGGTGGTTAATGAGATGGGTGGACTCCTTATAAGGCTTGGGCAATTCTCTTTCCTTTGAGCTAGCTTTTGGGGTGTGAGTTACGCCCAAGACCTAATTTAACAAATAGTAAATAATGAAAGTCATTTTTTCCACCTTTTCCTATTTAATTACGGTTTTTCACATAATTACTCTATTAGTATTGTGTACAAATAATAGAGAATTGAAAAGGCATCATGAACTTTCAATTTAGAATTCATGCTTTCTTTCTCCATCATCAATATCATATTTATCTTATAATTATATTATTGTACTCCATATGATAAATAATTATGATCATGAACTTTTGCTCGCTAATTGGTCTCGCTATTTCATTCCTAGTTCTCTCTTTCAAGCTTCTTTCCATCATGGGGATTTCTTCTCATTCCGTCCGTTCTGCTAGCTGGTGTCGCCCTCTCTCTTACTTATCTATTCCCATCCATCTTCACCTCTCCAACTCCACTACTCCTTCAAGGCACGATTAATGTGCCTCAAACCTCTCTCTTGAGAAAGAGCATTTTTTAATGGAGCCTTAGCACGTGAACCCATAGGAACAGGGCCTTCTTCTTTGCAGAAAAGCTTCTGAATTATCATCACATCAGTAGGCGCAGAAAGCAAATCTTGGTACTGACTTATTAAAAATCTCAAAGAGATTGCTTAGACAAATCTTTTTGTGTGAGGCTGTTGTTTCCCACCTTTCTTACCTTGTTTTTTGGGCTTCAAATTCTGTGACTCATAAGCCCTCCATATCTAAAGATAGATGGCTAAAGGGCGGGTTTCACAGTTAACTAAAAAGGCGATCGATTGGCTTGGAAAGGAAAGGAAACCCTTCATTTCCAAGCTTTATTATTTCTATCTTAATTTTTCCATCTGGGCGCCTATTCATTCTTTTTGGGGTGTATAAAGCCACAGAGCGATTCAGGCATCTATCGTATTGTATTGACGCAATTTGAAGATCAGGATTTCTCCCTACCGCTCAAGCGAGATCAGATTGGGCTTTAGCGAGAACAACTGTAATTGAATCAAGAATGGAAAGACTTCGCTTCAACTCAATAAATGATGTCAACTTTGTAAGTGCTAAGGCAAAATATATCACCGAAAGGAAATGTGATAGGGATCCTAGCCAGTTCACTCTACCTGAGCAATAAAGTGGAAACCCCCCTCACGATCGATTAAAAGGAAAGCCACATAGTCCACCGCGTCTTTCATTGCATTGCATTTGTCGGGATTGAAACCCCTTTCTTGAGCGTTCTCCTTCGCTCGTTGGCAAAACGCCTATGCATGCGTCTAGTTTGTTGGGGTGTTCACCTTTCACATACCCAAGCCGTTATATTTTGTGTGGTGAAAAATACGATCCTTTCATCCCTATAAATACACAAACTTAAACCTCAATCACTCCACCCATTTGGAAAAAAAAAATCACTTCTACACTCATATGTTGACTCATTGTTGTTCTACAAAATTTTCTGATGGCTATAGTTGATCACTTTCTTACAACAATCTTAATTATTGTAGTGTTGTTAAACTTCGGCTCAAGAGTTTTACCAAAAAAAAGGCAATTGAGATTTATTTAGAATTTTGGGAGATTTTCTATTGTAATTGAGAGTTATTCTTTTGGCAAGAGCCTTCTTTGTTATATGATTAAATAATCCTATGTATTAGTTGAAATTTATTTCTTGGCACTAGGTAGCATACATTTTTTATGGTATAAGTTGTTGAGTTTAAAAGTAATTATATCCTTTATATTAAGCATTGTATTTGATTACTCCAAAAGAAAAAAATTATGTATTAGAAAAAGTAAACAATTAAAAATAAGACTTATTATTTTTTTGTTAGAGTAACCAATATTCTTATCATAAGAACTAATAAATATATGTATTGTATCGAGGCACTTCATTACTTTCTTCTTCGTATTTCTTTTCAATTTTTAATTTATCATGTGATTTTTGCTACCTATATTGTAAATTGTTTACTTTTTCTTTCTGTCACGACCCAAAAATGGACATGATGACACTTGTCTATTCTCACCAAGACAAGTCAGCCTCAACCCAAAAGAAAATGAAAGAAATGCGGAAATACAATATAATAGAACAAGATAAAGGCAGAAAACTTATTCATTCTAATCAATTTCCCAAAACCTGGTTGTCACGTGTACAAGTCATTAAATACATAAGAGCGGAATTAAAAAATAAATACAAGTCACAGTCTTTGTTTCTCAATTAAAAAAGATCAAGAGAAAGGATGACAAACAATTACCTCTCAAATCCTTCACGAGCCTCGACTATCAGGAGAAAGAGAAGAAGATCACACGGGTCCGGGCTCGAAACCTACACAAGTGTTAGCTATAAGAAGGTAGATCTCAAAGATGTTTAATTTCCACCCGATGCATCCTATCAATACAATGATGTATTTTATATCTAAAATTCAAAATAAATATTTACAAAAGATGTATCAATTATCTGTTTCTTTAATTCTTAACTCAAACACAAACAAAATAGAACCAACATTTTACGAAAACATAAATGTGAAAATTACTGACATTTTGTAGGGCAGCTAACTAAGGCGTCAACTTCGACTTCTCGAATCTATTATCTACAAGTCACAACCTCTTCCAAGACCCAAAGACATACAAAAAACAACGAGAAGTTTTACCCCGTTGAGAACAACAGGGATAAACAAACCACAAGGCAGAAGGTGTTTGCAAGAGTAAGCAAGAAAAAAGAATGAACAATAATTTTAAGGGTGCAAAGGCGGCGGCTTCCAAAGCTTCTTGAGGATAAAGTTTAACCAAGTATTTATAGGTAGAAATTAGGGTTTCTTGAGCATAAATTTGATTTTCAGATTTTGAAATTGGTCAAAGAAATCAAACGTTGGGGTGAACTGTATGTTCACGTGATTGAGAAGACAGTAGCATAGAAATGGAGTATCTACCCTTTGTCTATAGTTGGTGAAAACTTGTTGCTTTCTGAAAATAGGATAGAAGAGTAGAAGGCAGGGTTGTGGTTGCACTGGGTCTTGAAACCCTACTAATTTAAAACATGGTGGGGTATTTAATGTTTTGGGCTTGAATTAGTTGATTTGGGCTCGTTTTGAGAGTATAATATGGGTTGCTGATGTGTTAAGAGATTTAATTGGATGTGAGATATAAGCTAGTTTGGTTGATAGTCTTTTACTTCTTTAAACTATGTTTTTGATCTTCTAATTTAATAACTAGTGTAATATATAATTAATACATAAAAATAAAGTACTAACTATACAATTTTTTTGTTAATGATTTAAAAAAAAAAATTGATGTATAACTAATTTGATAACGACTAAAAAGTTTAAAAGATAGCTTTATTATTATTTTCTGAAAGAAAATGTAACGACGACGACAACAACAACAACAACAACAACACCACCACCAATAACAACAACAACAATAGCGACAACAACAACAACGACAACGACAACAACAACAATGACAACAACAACAACAATGATGATAACAACAACAACAACAACAACAACACCACCACCACCACCACGAACAATAGCAACAACAGCAACACCATCACCACCAACAACAACAACAAGTCGTAAAATGTATTCGTTGATAACTTTGCAAGGACTCAAACTTTTCAACTTTTCCAAGGCTCTTCCATGGCTGCCCTCCTACGAACCATGAGACCTTGTACCGTTTGTAGGTAGGCTCGTACAACATGCACCAACAACTCTTTCGTATTTTTTCTTTCCAACTCAACTTACCAACTTTCGAGGTGTTACAATAACCCATTTGCAAAGAATTTTTAATTGGGTTCTATTTAATCTTCAATTTCAACCCAGACTCTTTATTTGTATTGGCTTAATATATATTCCCATATTTAGTATGAATTATAATCTATTTTATATGGATTTATTTATGCATATGTATCTTATTTTTTAATTTACTTGAGTTAAAATTCAATTTCTGGTTATAAAAATAAATAACAATATGTTAAAATTATTGAGATTAAGCGGGTTAAATTGGATGGGTCATTACCTAACCCATTTTTTAGCCCGTTTGAGCCTAAAGTAAATTTGGGCGGGTCATGACTCAATCCAATTTCTATTTCAACCCATTTTAATATCCTCAATTTAACCTAATCCACCCATTTTGCGTGTATCCCGCTGTAGCAGTCACGCTATAGCGATTTGTTTCCTGCTATAACGGCCTTAGCTTTTCAGCACAGATAGTCTTTGGTAAAACAGTTACAACTTTTTAGTCCGGACACCAAAAGAAGCAAGCTTGGTGGCGTTGAAAAGAAGACGCACAGACCTTTAATTTGATAGTTGATGGAACACCTAATTCATTATAGGTTGAGAGATATGGTCTTTTAAAGTTTCCTTGGTTTAAACTTAAGCTCGAAATTAAATCAGTAAGACACTTTCAACTTAACTTTGTGATAGGGGCATTGTACGACCTTAAATCATAACTAATGCACTCCCATATCAAGGAATTGATCCTAACCCTGTGACGGATAAGATTCGTATATCTTCACCGTAGATATTTTCAATAACGACGGAATAGGTAGTTACATTAACAAAACAATATATATATATAGGTGAGGAAATAGTATATACTTGAAGGTTTGTTTTACTTCATGAATATTGAGTAGGCGTTTTGTCCAAACGGGAAATTCTATGAAATTATTTCTTACCTGTTGTGAAAACAACATAAAAATTCGTTAAAAAATGAAACAACACCTACAATTCTCAAAGAAAACTAGGAAAATTAGAAGTATAATTTTGTGAGATAAACCACTCACATGTCACTGTCACCCAAAATGAGAAGACAAAAAAAATGTATTTTTGGGAAAAAATCATTTAATCGATGGATAAGGCTTTGACAAAGATGCCAAATGATAAAACTGTAGTAGTGTACTGACAATCTATTCTACAACTAATAAAGGGTAAAATAGTCAATAAACTTTTGATGTGAATTTTTATATTTTAACTTTTGATTTTGTGGCTTCTTATAGTATGACCTCTACTATTATATAAAATTTATATAGACCTAACTCTTGTTGATAATAAGGTACTTAGTACCTTTAATTAATTTGTTGTGTCCTACCAAGTTCGTCCATTGAGTCCATATAACTTAAGAAATTTGACAAGAATAAATTATATTAAATAGCTTTGAAAAACTCTATTCATAAGTAAAAAAAGTTTCATTACACGTTTATTTCAAATGTGGAAAATAATAAAAAAATATTAATGAGTAATGAAGTACTATAAATATAAGCTTTAGAAGATGAAAATAATGCATTTAATTTAAAAAGATATTCATTTGAAAACGTTACTGCAATAAATTACTTACAATTAAATGCTAAAATAATAAAGTTCAGTATTTTAAGATAAACTTTCAAATATGTATAATATATTAATATATGAAGTAATATTTTCTTTGTACTGGAGGGTCGGATAATTCGACATGATTATCGTTTGGTTTGAATGATAAATTGAGTTGTGGGAGTAATATTCATAAGCAACAAAATTAAATTTAAACTTAGCCAGAAATCTTAAAAGTCACTCTTGAAAATTCAAGTATCACTAAATTTTAGTAAGTATTAAAAGGGTAATTATCAATTTATTGTGAGTGGTTTTTACGTTTTTGTACATTGAACTTTTATGAAACTCTCTACCATTAACAAACTTTTAGTTGATCCAATTATGTCTATCTAGCATTCTAACTACTTTATTGTATTTAAAGAGCTAATTACTATTTTGTAATTATTTTTCATTTAAATTACTCAAATGCATTCCAATCTTTCAATGAATTAATTTAAGTTTAAAAAGTAAAGTCATTCAACTTTTAATTGACATTTTGATAAATTCAATTTTTTAGCATTTAAAGTTCTTACTTAGAATATTATATATATGAGATATCAACATAAATTAAGAGGATGCTGTCTAATAAAATAGCATTTGTAGATGTTGTACCATTTTTATTTGCTAAAAATTTGAATTGTTTTCTAAATTTTAAATGTGGATGATAAGATTTTTAAGGAAATTGCTTTGAAATCTTCAAACAACATTCCATATTTATAGCAAAAAATCTAGGACATCTCTGCTTGAAACAATAATAACATCATGTTAAACTTACTACTTTATTATATCTAAGAAGTTAAATAACATATTTGAACTGATAAAATAAAAAACCAATAATGAAAATGTATATACATGAATAATTGGACAATGCAATAAGAATCTTTGTCTATCATTACATGTTCTATTAATTTATCAGAATCACATACTTAAAAAAATTATGAATTTTTTTTTATAAAAATTAAAATAAAGAATGAAAGTTAAAGAGATAACATTTATTATATCAAATCAAATTAACGTGAAAAATAATAAAATACACATGTGATCAGATTATACAAAATAAAAAAAAGTTATACAAAGCAATATATCAATAAGAAAAAACATACCAATAAATAAAAAAATTACAGAAGAACTATATATGAGATGATGAAACATAAGTATAGTGGATTAATATTTTCTATCCAATTTATAAAGGAAGAAATTGTGTACATGAAAAATTGTGATGTGTTCAATTGTAGAAGCTAAATGGTTTAAAAATTAAAGTCAGAAGTGGAAAATGATAAGTTGTAACATCTAACCATGTTTTTGGTCTAGTTTAATTGTAATTATTGATTCAACTTTAATTTACAGGTTAGTAAAATAGTAATTTTTAATTAAGAAAATTACTGAAGGGCATTTTCGTAATCCAACTTTGAACTTAAAACCTTTTCACTATATATGTCCTTCAATGCATCCATACGTATTGTTCACCCTTAATTAGAGGTCTCGAGTTCGAGCCTTGGTATGGAGAAAACTGTTGCGAGCGCCACCCCCAATGGGCCCTACATTACACGATTCAAATTTAATTGGGGCTCTAATATGGACTCCGAACACCGGATGGAAAACCCAAAAAAAAAAAAACTTCATTGTTTAGTTAGGATGAAGGCCATGATAAAATAATGCTAATTATATTTTTAAAAGTTCAATGTCATTTCCACAATATTGTGTGATCCCTTTTCTCCATTTCACCCTTTAAAGAAAATAAAACAAACCTAAATTCATATATTGGAGCTAATTCAAATTGACTAAGAAGAAATAATTGAACAACTTTCCTTGCTTTCGTAACCACAAATGTTTCCTCAAGTGATATAACTTTCAATTAAAGTATCTTTACAATTAACTACTTTGTGGTACAAACTTAAAATAAAGAGTGGAGATCAATCTGCAACACACGTTCACGAAAACTAGTCCAATATTAGAAGTGGAACACCCCAAGTAAAATGTTGAAAAGGATAATTTTGTTGTGTTATGCTTCTGCAAACTTGAGATGGCAAAAGTCTGTCCTAGCTAAGGGTTCATCCTGCTAACAGTTGCGCTGAGTAATATAATACATTACGTCTAATTGATTAAGGCCCGGAGGGATAGTATACTATATAGATTAGGCTTGTTGCAACTCTATTAGTCCATTTGATGTTCGAGTCCTTTATCACTGCGTATACACAAGAATGGAAAACTTGGTGTTTGATTGCTTTCAACGATATTGCATCACAAGTCACAAGCAATCATCAACTGAATACTCAAAATAGACAGGTAGAAAAATATTCAAACAGCCAATTGGAGGGGCCACCATTTGGCTCATTTAGTTCGAAAGATGCATTACTAAACTTGGCAAATTTAAAACTATCCTAGATTGCCAATAGGTCGCTAATTAGGTAACAGAGAAAAGATAGTCTAATTCCTTAGTTCAAAAGACATATTTTTCACTTAGTTCCTTCAGCAGAGAAACTGATCACTCCTTACCCTCCTCCACAGGAGACTCAACGTCACTATCCACTGAAGCCACTGCACACTGAGAAGTGCTTCCATTTGATGCATCCCCCTGCATATCATTGTTTCCCATTGGTGGTGGAGACACAAAGTAACCATGGTGATGCGCCATTTGGTGCTTCAACAACAAAGGCTC